GGAAATGGGCCGATTCTGCAGGGCCTTGTGTGCCAAGCTGAGGGATTTGTCCTGTGTCCTTTACAGGCAATAGAGATCCACCAACAGATTTTAAGCAGAGAACTATGTTCACGTTTTACTTTGAGAAAGGATACAATGGCCACAGGTCTAGGTATAATAAAATGAGTCCAGCAGAGGAGAAGTAATGGCCAAAACTAAGGGACTGCAGAGGCGGGAAGGAACAGATACAAGAGTTGGGAAGATGTGGATCCCATAGGGATTTGTCACCAGCCGGATGTATAAAGAGAACTTCCAGAAATCTAGAACTCACAGTTTGGACTTCTTCCCCCTGAGCCGTGAATGAGGGAATATTACAGGTGGACATCTTCTCCTTTTGTCGTCCACCTTGGGCTGCAGGATCCTTGCTGTGAAGAGGGGTTAAAAGGCTAGACTGAAGGACACAGTGGCGTGCAAAACCACAGCTAGAAGCAGGCCCTTCGCTGGTTTTTCCAAAGCTGTTCCAGTGGTGAGGGGATCGTAAAAGGATGAAAACTTTCTTTAGATGAAATTCTGAACATTGAGAGATTGGGCCTCTATCTAAAGGCATTCAGAGCTCCCTGATGAAGTTGTCAAAAGCCATATGCAAAACAAGGGAAAGTGCATGATAGAGGCTAAAAAAGAAAGTGAAAGGTATAACTGCTCGAAACGTTAAAGCTCAGCATCAATTTAAACTTGGAGAAAATGCTCAAGTTGCCAAAAAGGGGCGGAAAAAGGAAAGCAAAGAGAAGAATGGATAAAGGGGTGTAACAGATTAACAATTAGAAAAAGCAAAATAACCGAATTATTATTGTTTCCCTGACAAGAAGACATAGTCTGGCTGGCCAAAACTAAAATGTCAAAACCATAAAGATGAGAAGTAAAGAAAAACCTTGCCCCCTTAAGTAACGTCAGGGCTCTCAGGTCCAAGCGTCAGTGTCCCCCAGAGCTGCTGGGAGCTGCACGTGCTTTTTCTGATACAAACTATTGGGAGTTTTGGGGAAGCCGTGGAGAGTGTAAGGCCATGAGACTGGACATGGACAAACAGTATTTCAGTTTTGAAAATAATTATAGTAAATGGTTTCACCTATTTTTTTAACTGAAAATCTCATGAACCAAATAAATGTTAGTAGTCCATATTTGGGGAAAAGATTTAAATAGGTATAAAGAACAAAACAAAAATCAGCTTTTAAGCCCAATACTTAAAAGACCCTGAGGACAATAAGCTGTTTCAGGACTTAAATTGTTTTATGCTGATTATAACTGTCTGTGTGCTCATTAAAACAGGTTGGATAGGACCTCTGCTTGGCAAATGATTTTTTTTGTTGTTTTCTTTTTAGCTGTGTTTGAATTTTTGTATGTACTTCTAAGTAATAAAGCTATATTTATAAAAACATTTCTATATTTGAGGCTTTATTTGTCATACATATCATATTGTAAACATTTTACTCAGAACACAGATAAAATGGAGTCACAAGCTTTTCCAGTTTAAAGTTTTCGAGATTATTTATTTAGCGGAATCAGAATGGGAAGCTACATGAACCTGTGTGCAGATCACTCAGACCTGGCCTTTGGTAGAAGTGGCAAAGCTCCTTGCAGAACATGCTGGGGAAGGCTAGCCTGCCGTAAGGCAACAGGTTTTTGAATCAGTAGAAGAGCAAAACTGCAGCTTACTAACTGCTCCTCTAAAATGCCCCTTCTCTCCTCTAACTGGCCTAGTAAATGTCTCCTCTTATCCGTCCTTCTCTGCCTGGGCAACGATCACGCCCTGCCGCCCAAGCCCCGCGTTTTTTGGAGTACCCAGTCTAACACAAAGTTGGAGGTCCACGTATCCCTTTTCCTTACCTCCATGTGCATGCCCTGAAAGCAGGACTCTATTCTCAGCAACCTCAAGTACTCTTAAGTGATCCATAAATCGGATGAAAAAATAACCAAATTACATAAGATATGAACAAATGAATGAATAAAGGACAAGAAAGCATCACTGTAACTTGAATGCGTCCAGCTGGCTCATGGGTGAATGCCAACGACCTGCTGCCTAGTCACCTTTCATCCCGTATCCTAAATTGGCCATGGGGTCCTGAGTTTTAGTTTAGAATGGATTAAAATCTCACACTGAGAATGCCACTCGAGTGGGCAACATGGAGTCCTGCAGAGGCGCCGGAACGCCCGTGGACACTACAGTGTCTGTGAGGTAGATCGGACCCCTGGCTGAGTCACTCAGCTGTCGGGAAAGACAGACTAGAGGTGACAACACACAATATGTGCGTTATGAAATATATTTACCATACAGCAAGCATTCATGACCTACTGCTGCCAGGCTCAGGATAAAACAGTGAACAAGAGGCTGCCTGTCATCACAGGGCTCAAAGTTGAGTGAAGGAGCAAAAGGGCTGGGTAGGAAGGTGGTTCTAATTGGCCACTGTGGGTGCTATGCTGTGAGTTAACGGGGGGGGGGGGGGGGGGTGCGGCCTCCACAGTCAGGCGAGCCTTCCCACAGGAAGTGGTGTCTTGGCTAGGAACAGAAAGCAGTAGCGACTTACATTTATACAGTTACTATAAGCCAGGCTCTGTTTTAGGCATTTAACATGTATTAATTCTTTTAATCTCATGACCATCCTGTAAGATAGGCAAGGTGTCCATGGGGGCAGGGAGGGCGTGCAAGGGAAGGCAGAGGAAGTCCCGAATTGTTGACCACAACCCTAACCCAGATGAGAGGCAGCAACTGTATGAACAGTAAGGACACTAATGTCTATGGAGAACTAGCAAGTGCCAAACACTGACAGGCTGTTTAGTAGAATTAGTACATGAATCTGAGTATTAGAGACCTTGGTTCAAATCCTCTCAAATACCTATCAGTTCAGCTTTGCCTTTGCCCAATCCCAATCTCTGCTTGCCTAACAGAGCATTTAAATTCCTGCTGCTACTGTTTCAATACTATCTATGCTCAGGTTATAAATCCTTCTTGGACCCTGATTGCTCTGACCACATCAATCTTAGGACAGTAAAACAGTAAAACCAGTTTTCCCACACCTTTATTTCTTTGAAAATTCAGTTCCTTTACCCTCTCTTCCAAGTCATGACTGACTTTTAATTGGAAAAAGAGAAATATCTTTACCTCCAAATTCTGGAATTTTCAGTTCATGACTTCCACGTCCTAAAGAGGCTCTCCCGATTTCTTCTGTTGTATCATTCACTCCTATGTTAATACACAAAAGTGAATACTGAGCAAAGGCTTGATACATCTTAGAAAGCTTTTCCCCATCTCAATACAGATCCCTGAAAGACGGCGGAACACACGCACACTGTGACCCCATCTGGGAGTCGCTCGCTGGAGAGTAGTTTCTTTCCCTCTTCTCATCACTGTGCTTCAGCCCGCGAAATACTCCAAGAAGCAGATGGTATAGTCCCTGCCACAATCAGGCTGGGGAAATAACGCCACCACAGATGAAAGAAGTGTATACCGATGATGTTGTAAAACACTGCAATGGGCAAGTGATCACGCAGAGGTGGACAACTGGACCATGGAGGTGTTGGACACGGAGGTAACTTCCATGACTGTTTTCTCGGTGGGTTTTCAAGAAATATTTATGGAATAGAGAACAGGAAGAGAGCAGCCATTAACTATTAAGCAGAGGATCTCGCGCAGACAAGCAAGCACAAGTCATTTCTCACATGTGGGAAAGGAAAGCAAATATGCCACAGACACCAGGAATCCAGGTACATATGAGGTTATCCCTAGCTTCCCTGGCAATGAAAGCAAAAGAACTCGACGCGAGGGTTGTAACAGTTTTATCTGACACAAGTGCAATACATTAGTTCCTTTAACCAAAGAATTAAATTTAGAAACATATACAACCACCCTCGTCTGTAATTCCATCTGACCAGCGTCATCACTCACATTTAATTCCCTGATCTTCTCTAAGCACCCTATGCCCTTTCATGGTTCAGTTGCTTTGTACATGCAGTTCCTCCGCCTCTTGACAGCGCACACCAGCCTCCAGCCAGGCCTGGGCCGCGCTAGGGCGCTGCTCCAGCACCGCCTGCCGCCACGCCTTCCCCCGCTTCCCCGGCGCAGCTGGCCACCCCAGTCTGCGTGCTCTCGCATTACTTTGTTCTCTCCTCTTTTAGGGTACTTACCAGGTTTTATCGTGACTGATTTGTTTTAGGCATCTGAATTCATGATCCCGAATGCTTTACAAGGGGGGATTCTATAGGTTTAATATTTTCCTATGCATGGCCCTGGCATTCAATACACGCAAAAGGCATTCGGTTAAATGTTGTAGAATGAGTGAATTTATTGCATGTTTCCTTACAAGCACCGCTCAACAGCAAAAGAAAGGAATTCAGTAAGCTACACAGAATTTACAGAAATTTTCACCCTTGGGCCTTTTCTTGTGCTGACCCTTGCTAACACCAAGGGTTTAACAATAAAATGGAAAATATCTTTAGGGGGATTAATTAATGGAACTCAGGTAAACATCTTTTTAGCGATTAGGCTTAACACAGAAAATCTGAAGTACTTGAGCAATGTATGAATAACATGTACTCTTGGCTGTTTTTGTCAAATATTTATTAGTCTGGTTTCTCACAGGAGCTGGACAATGGACCATTCAAGGCTGGAGCATCTATGCTGCTGAAGGAAAATCCACGCTCCAGCGACCAGACGCACAGATGACAGGACGGACATTGTTTTGGAAGCTCAGAAATTGGATGTAATTTCTTTTGGGGAGACAAAAGATTTCTATGCCTTAGGAAACAACTTTTAGGCTTGTTCAAGAGCTTAAACAAATCTCAGCTGACTTCTTTTTGTAAAATGTCTCATTGCAAAAATTATTTTAGTCTGGACAAATGTAAACATAGCATATCACCGGCCTGTCCCTGCGCCACAGAGAATCACACTGTTACCACCTTAAATCATGCTCATGGAATGTCTGATTTCCAGTGGCACTGTCAGAGGATGAGTCTGGAGAAAGCAAGCTGGGGCCGGAATATGGAAGGCTGTGAATGCCAGCCTATGGGACTTGAACTTCATTGGGTGTCAATGGAAGACGCTGGAAATACTTCAGGAACAAAATGACAGCCAGACCTGGTTCTCATTCTTGTGGCTGTGATGGCAGGAATGGCTTAAAGTGGGGGAAGATGAGGGAGGGGTGGGAAGTAAAGTCTTTTACTAGTGTGGTGGCAACTAACATTCAGAGTAGAATTGACAGGACCCAGTGAGAGGCTGGTACCCACTAAAATTTACAGCTGGGGCATCCCTGGCCCGAATTGGAGGTGGCGGCCACCCTGGAGAACAAGTCACTACAGGAGACAAAGCCAAACCCAGAGCCCTGACCTCCCGGTTCCACACTCGGTTCTCCTTCTACTCCAGCCACTGCCTGATCTGGAACTTTCCAACTGGCTTGAAAGACAAGCCTCAGCAGGCAACTTGATAGGGCATAACAAAAACTCAGTTAAATTACGGTGAGCATTTGCTTTTTTCTTAGACTGTGGTTAGAATTCTAGCTTTTGAGCTAACTAGCTTTGATCTTGCACCAACCATTTGCCTTTGACATCTTTTACACTTTTCTTTCAATTTCTTTCTTTTGATGATATCGCACAGATGTATTTCTTGTCTCCCAGGCTGTTAGGAGCACACACATTGGTGTGCAGAATTTCTTTGAGGGCAGTGATGTAGATAATAATATGTGGATCATTTACCGTTGATTGTTTATTATACCCAGGATGTTTCTCTGTAAAATGATGTCAAATTAATGAATATAAATAGTGAGAACCACCTGTTAGAAACAAAGTTTTAATAAAAGCACAAAGCCTGAACCATTTACATTAATTTAGGCTGGCAGGGATGCACCTGCCTTTTATTAGGCCTCTGGCTACTTAAGAACATTGTCTAACATTCGGAAGTACCTGAGAGCCAGTCACATCATCCTTTATTATAAGAGAAAGTCTTCCATTGCGCAGGAGAACCTTTCCCCCAGGTTTTTCTTCATCCTTCCTTTAAAAGATTTCACGTGGCAGCAATGAAGGGCAAAGGGGAAAGACCTTTCCATTTTAAAAAGTATGGTGTGGTTTGGCTTCTGTTAACTGGTATGTTAGCTGGAGAAAAGTGTTGTTATACATTATCTTGTGATTGGTGTAACCAACCAGTATTCGGTTCGTACTCCTGTGCAAACTACGCCCAGCACTTTCGGGCAGGCGGGCAGACCCCAGAGCGGGGTTCTGGGCTCGCAGTGGTCTCCCCTTCCAGCCCTCAGCTTCAGGGTAGTCTCAGAGTTCTTGCTCCAGCCACGCAGGCCAGGACAGCACCCCGCCCCCGCCCCGCGGACCCCCTGAGGTTAGTGGCTCTGGCAGAGCTGGGTAGGAGGCTCAGCCGGTGGAAGAGAAGCAAGCTGGGCAAGGGAGAGTGGTCACGCGGACCGGAGAGCATAGTCTGGGGCCAGAAAACACTGAGAAAGCTTTTTTTATGTGGTTCGCACAATGTCTTTGGAGGCAATGCTAAAAGAAAATTTTCAAAATGTTCTAATACTAGCATCATTCGGTGAGTGCATGGCTTCCCAAGAGTGCCATTTTAAAGCATAATCATTTGATTCTATGAGTTATGATAGATTTGTCTTAAAATTTTTAATTTTTTATTAAATATAAAAATCATGCTTAAGTGATGGCTATAATCCACGAACATTAACGAAATTTGTAGGATGTGTGGGTGGGCTAGAAACACTTTTAATTTTATAGTCTAAGGACGAAACTCAGCACCATGTACTACTGCGTTGGCCAATCCTAAAAATCTTGAGGCTGCTTTGAGGGGGGAAAAAAATTTGAAGTGCAAATGAATGGCACGTGTAATTTCAAAGTAATCCTGATTTACAGAATACATGGGTGTTTGGGTGACACAGAATAAAGGGCACACTTCAATTTTACATACAGAAGTAGCACAGTATGAGATTAATAGTTTCTATAGTACAATAGATCTAGTTACTACCCTAGCTCCGCCCACTTGTAGTTCAATAGCCCTCTGCAAATTATTTAACTTCTCTAAGACTCAGTTTCCCTACCTGTAAAATGCCTAGTGAAGTGCCTGGCAAACAGAAGATATTCAGTGACTATCAGCTCCCCTGTGACCATGGTGTTTTTTTTTTCTTTTTGTTTTTTTTCTCAAACTAAGGGTCTCAACTGATTGGTAGATTATAAAATCACCCGAGTAGGTTGCAACCAGCATATCTTAGAAACTGAAACAACAAAAAACATCAGAATGCACTGCGCATAATGGTAAGAAGTGTTCCATTATACATATGCTGAGTTTTGTTTAAGTGCGTTTTTTTACTGTGGGTTACAATCAGAAAGGTTTGGTCTCTGCTCTGTAATGAAGTTATCAGATTATTATATCAAAAACATCTTGAGGAGTGCTTCCTTTATCCAAAGAAGCCTCTATAAATATGAAGAACTTAATCAAAGTGTCCTTTACATTTTAACTTGTTGCAGTAAAAATAAGACCTGAATAATAAAGATTAATTTGATCTAATACTGTTGGGCATTAAATTCAACTTGATTAGTTTCTGTGTCATATTGACTAACGTATACTGCCAACACCAAAGTTTATAGGTGTATCATTTACAGTTGATTAAATACTTCTGGCGATTTCTACCAAAAGCTGGCTAGTAGGATCTATTATGGGAAAATTAGATACAATTTCTAAATAATTTTAAAGAAAACTTTTTAAAAGGATTGTAACTGGCCCAGTCATGAAAGCTGCTAGAGCAATAGCCCAATCCTGGTGAGTGGCAAACTCACAGGCCTTCATGAGCACATACAATGGTGTCTTGCACAGTAAAAACCAGACGGCCCAAGACAAAGCATGAGCTTCGGTCTCAGGCCTCCTCTCTCCTTCAGGTCCTGAGGTGCCACCAGCTTGACAGTATAGTGAGTCCCTAGCTGTGTTAAGATGGTGGGGAAAAGCCTCAGCAATTTGGGGTTGGCAGAGTGGGAACAACGTGCAGCAATGCAGATGGGGCGATGTTGCAGGGCAGACTACTAGGAATTATAGAATTCAATGATACACTTGAATCTCGATGTAACTGTATCTTAAAATTTTAGCCGACCAGGACAGATTGACCATTATCAGAACCACCTGTGGGACTGAAGTTTCGGAATCTCGTTTTATTACATAGGCCCCGCATGTGATTCTGATCTCCACTCAGGTTTGAACACCCTGTGCTAAAGGGACAGCAAGGATCAGAAAACAAAACAAAACAAAAGGTGGAGTTCGAAAGTAATTATCCTGACCTTATAGGTACCAGTATCAAATACTGGGTCAGAATCTGACACTTATTCAAAGTACTTCCTTTTTGGTATTATATAAAAGATACAAGTCAGCAGGTAGCAATACAGTACTTGAAATTTTCTAGTTACTGTATTTTGCTGGGTATAATGCACACTCTTTTGCCCAAAGTTTTGAGGAAAAATAAGGATGAGCATTATACATGGGTATAATGATTACATACCATGGGTATAATAATCCCGTGTATAGTGTGCACAAAACTTGGGTGTGCATTATACATGGCAAAACACGGCATTTAACAAGAAATGGTGAGTCAAAAAGTGTGAAGGAGAAAGGTCTCTTTAGATTAGAAAGAGGAACACAAGGCAGCAATCAATAAAAGTTATGATGAGTAAGCTCAGCTAGAGAGAAAGGATAAACCATCCGCCTGCCTGGTGACGGGCGCCTGGGCAGAGAACGCTCACACCGTTGGAGGTGTTGGTTCCCATTCCTCTGTCCGCAGAGCTGAGTAGGAGTAAGGCAAAAGGTGGTTCCTTCCTATTTCTACTGGGTTTGGGGTCTAGGATGAGGCTGCCTGCAGTCTTAAATTCTTTCTCTCTAAATTGAATACCATTTGGCTTGATACAGACATTGGTTTGGGCTGGGCCGTGCTTGCTGTCAAGGTCAAGTGTTGGGATTAGCACCGCAAATCCACCGGCAGGGACTGACTGTTGGCACCAGGCTTTGTCCATCATTGCCCTGAATGTGCGAAAAGGCAAACGTGAATGCCATTCTTGGGAAGAAATGGCAGCTGTGAAAAGTGAAGGAAAACACAGGAGAGAGCAAAGCCTGGGGGAAAGGACGGCGGGAAGAGACGCAAGGTAGAAAGCCAGCGCTTCGCTTCACCCGGGTCGGAGGCTCCCTGTGTGGCGGCTGCATCGGCCCCTTGGAATTGGAAGATGCCCAGAGAGATGATCTGGCATATTTCCCGCCTGCTTAATTTTTAGCTCAAACTCTAACAATGTGGGAAATATTTGGAGATCTCTCTTTCTCCCTCCCTCTCTTACCTAGAAATTACAGGAAAGGATGGGAAACAATAAAATTGACTATGAGAAAAGCCCTCATTACACATGGGTAGAACTCACTCCACAAGTCAAAGAATTTTGAAAAGTACAGGGAAGGAAGGCAGAGGGCACTAGGTCTTCCAGGGGAAGAGACAAGCTGACAGAGCAAGCTTAGTGACTGGCTCAATAATACCCCCTACCACTTGAGATTCTGTTTCTAGAGTGACAGAGGGCAGAGTTCAGAGAAGGGGCCAGCGTCACAAATGAAGACACTGGAAAGAAAAGTTGGGCCTCTCTTTGCATTTTCTTTCACTATTAGTTTCCTTCATCAGAAAACATAGCTGGGCCAAGCTGTAAGTGGGTTCACATGCACTTCACCTGTACTCCTTGCTCGATCTAGGTTTCATTTGATAAAAAGGCTCGCGAACTCCCATTCTTTTCTTCGCTGACAGGCCTAAATAATCTACATTTAGGAGGTAAAAAGCATATTTATAATATTCTTAGCCTTGGGGTCTCCAAATCAGGGTTACGAAAGAAACTGTTCTTCCACGACCCAAGATGTCCATGGAACTCATGTCCCTGTCAAAGTCACGGGTTCGGTTTTCACATTTCCAGGAGGAAAATCTGCTCCCTAGCAGTCTTTAAATGGTATCTGACAAGCATCATACACCCTCAGCCCAGGCCCCTCAACTCCATTAACATCCCGGCAAACAAAAAATATATCCACTTATCACAGTTCAATCCCACTTCAGCATCTCCAGCCACTATCTTGACATAATCATGTTCCAAAAACTGAGTGTCCAACAGCAGCAAGGGCCCATCAGGATAGACACGTTGGCGCCAATAACACTGAACTTTGGTTTCTAACTGCATTTTTTGTCAGTTTGGCTGGGAAGATTTGGACAGCTGGAAGTGAGCTTCTCCATCATTTTCTGTTTCCTTCTTTGTATCAATTTTCCACCTGTGAAGCCCAACACTCCACCACCAAGTGCAGCTGCAATTCCTGCCACTTTGAAGCCTGCAAGGAGGCCAATCGGACCCCCCACCACTCCTCCGATGAGTGCACCTGCCACGGGCAGAGCTGCCAGCTTGTATTTTGCAGCCTGTAAAAAAAAAAAAAAATTCAATTTAGAAATTGAGTTGAGAATATCTGCCTGTGGTGATGTGCATTTTCCTCTCATTACTCCTGGCAATGCCTCTCTAACTCTTGGTACATAATTAACCTCAGAGAGCGTGCGGGGAAGGAGGCCGAGAAGGTGTCCACAGGTACTGCTGGCGCTCCCGATCTCAGAATTTCGAGCACTGCACTCCTAAGAGTGGACTGCTACAAATTGATTTTACTTGCAAAAAAAAAAATCAAACCACTAACTACCTAGCTGGCTTATTTAAATGGTTTCAGCAGCCACAGATGCCCCCAAAGCTTTTATGTTGCACAGAAATTATTCCATGCTCTGTACCTGGGGTGAGAAGCAATATTCTATGGGAAAAGATGGTCTCACTCTACACAGGCTGTCAGGTCCTTAGGTTCCTGCCCCTATTGGATGCCGGCAAGCCTCTCAGCTCCTCTCCCTGAGCCTCTACAAATACTCCCCTCTAACACCAAATGCCTTATTAGTGGGGCTGCGGTTTTTTCTCTTTGAAAAAATTTCTCCCCCAACAGAATGAATACTGGAGTAGAATATTACTACAGCCATTGATTTCTTGCACTACCTATGTGTCATTTCTTCCTTATTTCCTTAATTGCTGGTTCCCTTAAGATTAAAGAGCGCAGATCAATTGGGTTAATACTACAAATTCCTGGGAGCCAGAGGAACATTGATTTGTCAGCAGGAGCAGAATCTTACCTTCCCCAAGTTTTTGGTTCCCTCTTCCACATTCGCAGCGGCAGTGTTGACATGGTTTTCAATGCTGTCAATCTTCTCCTGCTGAGACTAGATGCAAAGGAATTATGAGGGCGCGTTCCTGCTGGGACGCAGCAGAGAGCCAGTACACACTATTTTAATTCCTGTAATCAGGGCCTTGTGTACTGCAGCCTTGCTGTCTTAATAGGGGTTCATTAATAGCATCTGATAAACCGTGTCGAAAGGAGAATTTCACTTGTATGAAAAAAAAGAGGGTGACTTAATTATTAGGTAATAAAAGGGTCGCACCTCTACAGAAAAAAGCATCTCACACTAAAATTCACTCAAACATACAAACATTCTCCAAATGAATCTATTTTCCAGGAGAAAAGAAATCCAAGTAAGCATTTGCATGTCATGTTGGGTTTGATGGGGGAAAAAAGAAACCAAAATCAAACAAACAAAAAAAACCCCTCCCTAATTTATCTTTTTGAAGATTCAGTTTAAAACAGGCAAATTTGACTTGGGAGTAAAACACCCTTGATCTAATAAGTACAAATTACTACATTTTAGAAATAAGAATACAATATGATTTGCTCTGCCATGAAATCTTTCTATCAATACTTCTGATATGCAGTAAGGAGAAGAGGATGAATTTACTGTTTGTGTTCTACACTTGTACATTTTAAAATCATAACAAGTTAAAATGTTTCTGATCAAATATACTAAAAAATCACTCTGACACAACCAGAACAGTGACTCGCGGGCTCTCTGGGCAGAAGCAACGTTTCTGTCTGGAGTGTGATTTCCCTCAGCTGTGTGAGGCCCCACTACAGCATTTCTGACACGTGGCTACCGAGCCTCTGCTCACACACCTCTGGTGACGGGACTTACTACTTGCCACTAGAAGACATTCCCATCTTTAAATCAATTTTTTACACACAATTTACACATAGGCACCCATTTTAAGGGTATAGTATGAGTTCTGACAAAGGTACAAACCCCATGGTAACCACTATTGCATCAATGTATAGACTATTTAGTGTTTTTAATTCACAGAAAAAGAGAATCCCATTTTGATCCCAGTTAAATGTCCACTTCTACAATGATTGTGAAATAATTCAACCTTAATCCTGAAGCATATAATTACCCTTATATAACTGACTTCTTCGCTTATCCTGAGGCAGATATAACACTCTTCTAATTCTAATCACTTCATCTAAGAATGCGATACAAACACAACTGATGTCCCCCCCACAGTTGCTTCCTATCAGCATTATTGAAATCCCTTCCCTTTTCACGCAACCAATATGTACCTGTTCACTGCTGGACCTTTCATAGGATCCCTTCATTCTTACATTCTCTGCTACCGTCTTAAAATTTCTAACACAATCCCTAAAGCAGTTCTGTAACAGGTTCACTTCTAACATCTCGGTCAGAGACAAATACGACAGTGGTTCTCACACTTAAGTGTGCACCACAATCACCAGGACGCCTTCTCAACACAGTTGCTGGGTCCCACCCCCAGAATTTCTGATTTAGTGGGCTTGGCGCAAGGCCTGGGAATTTGCATTAAAAAAAAACAAACTTTTATTTATTTTTTTGAGACACACACACACTCACATACCCCTATTTGTTGTTCTACTTATTATGCATTCATTGGTTGATTCTCATATGTGCCCTGCCTAGGGATGGAGCCCACAACCTTGGCGTATTGGGATGATGCTCTATCCATCCGAGCTACCCCCCAGGGCCGAGATTTTGCATTCCTAATGAGCTCCCAGGTGATGCTGATGTGCACAGTGAGTCTGTGATTCTCATATTTTAAAAACCGCTAGTGTATGTACACGGTAGGTAATGGCACAAAATCTGGTCAGTTGTCCTGCGTTCAAACCCTACAACTATCACTGTGGGCCCACGGACAAATTACTCATGATCTCTGGGTGTCATTATTCTCAGTTCTCAAGTGAGAATAATGATATTTCTGCCTCACAGAGTGAAATAAGGATAGAATGAGGTAGTGTCTACACAGTGCGAGGGGAAAAACAGAAAGCCATCCTGATCGTCCCAAGAAAGCTTAACTTGCATCTTTTCTATCAAAAAATAAAAACTTTTTGCTATGATGCTTGAAAATTCCAGAGCACTAAAACATTAGATCTTACCTAGCATTCATTCATTCAGTTTTTATTTTTCTCAGACAGGAAAACTTCTTCTCTGTTAGATTTTTCCCCTCCCCGGCCCACGGACGCATACATGCCAACACCTGTGTGTATTTCTGACGCCCCATCCTTGTTTCTATTTGGGACACCCCCCGATGCTTTCCATTCTGGCTTGAGAGTCTATGCTAGAGGAGAAATCACAGGTGTAAAGTGCTACTATCAACCTTCGTATCTTGATGAATTGAGGGGTTAAAGGGAAGAGAGCCAACAGTCTCCTTTGTCTCAGCCCCAAAAGAATTCCATCAGGGTGGTGGGGGCTGCCAGGACTGCTGCTGTTTCTAATAAAAATGTGAGTCCGGACCTCTGGGAAATATCCTTTAATGCGCCCTCGTAAAAGGTTGGATACTGAAGCTCTATAATTTTTTTATACAGTAAAATTTTTATTTTAATGTTTTTTTCACAAAAATACTTTGGAATAAGTGGAGAAAGGCCCACAGACAAAACAAAGCCTGCGATTACTGTTACCTGAACGGAACGCCCCCACCACCGTCATGGCCGGGGCCCGGCGAGGCCCGTCTCAGCCGGGAGCGGACCGCACCTGCCTGCTCACTCGCCCACGCGGGGAAGTTTGCTCCAACAGGCGCGGGAACGAGGCAGGGGGCCCACCAGACCCTGCCTGGGGATCGACAGTCACCTCTCAGTCGTGCCTTCTCCTTCCCCTACTTTGCTTAGTTTAGACCCCAAACGTTGCTCATTTCTTCAAATTGTGCTTCTTGAGTAAGGAGGACTCAATGGCACCAACCCGAGTTAGGCAGCTGGCATCAGAGCTGCCAGTCAACTGTCCACAGAATGACCAACCAGACTCCATTCAAAGCCATATGTGGTCACCACTTGTCCACTGTGTCCTTGGCTCTTTATGTTGGGCCAAGCCACACACACACAGTCTTATCTCAGTACAGGAACCAAGCCCCCAGCAGCCACGGTGGCTCAGGAGCCCCCTCTCCTCTGCCCACCACACTTCCCCAGCCACTTTTACCTCTGATTTTGCTTTCATCTTCCTGAACTGTCCACATTTGACAATCTTCAAGCTCTCTTCCTGACATTATATACTTTGGTGGTTCATGTATGTTCTCAGCTTCCCTTTAGTAATGAATTATCACTTATGATGGTCACTGCAGTGTTCATCAAACTAGTATAATGCATAGACTTTTCCCTTTTTAAAGGAAAAAAAATTTTTCAAAAGACTATGTCTATGGATTTCATTTAAAGAAACACTAAATTAGGTCCCATATCTGCCTGAAAAAAATAACTGAATCAAAATTAGCTGCGAAGATGTGATCTATTAAGTTAATGTTTGTCAAGAAGAAGACAATTTGCACACTTGAAGTCAACTTTAAAACTAATGAAGAATTGCTCTTCAGTTGAATGCTGTTTTGGACAGTTATAGGCCCAGTATCTTCTGTATCAAGTAATACTTTCAACAAATCCATTCCTAAATCCATTTACATCAATAAAAATGCTCTCCCTTGAATAATCTTGCTAGTAGTTGTGCAGTTTTATTATTGTGTTTGAAAAGCTATGGGTTTCTGCCCTGGCTGGTGTGGCTCAGTGGATTGAGCGTTGGCCTGAGAACCAAAGGGTTGCAGGTTCAATTCCCAATCAGGGCACATGCCTGGGTTGCGGGGCCATGTTGCCAGTAGTGGGTGCTTGAGACATAACCACACATTGATGTTTCTCTCCCTCTCTTTCTCCTTCCTTTTCCCTCTCTAAAAATAAATAAATAAATACAATCTTTAAGAAAAGCAAGCTACGGGTTTCTGCCCTAGCATGGTTCCCTAGCATGGAGTGTGGTCCCATACACCAAAAGTTCACGGGTTTGATCCCTGGTCAGGGCACATGCCTAGGTTGCAGGTTTGATCCCTGGTTGGGGTGCCTAGGAGAGGCAACCGGTTGATGTTTCTCTCTCACTTCAGTATTTCTCTCTCTGTCAAAAATCAGTAAATGTATCCTCAGGGGAGGATTAAAAAAAAAGAGAGAGAGTCCTTAGAATACCATAAAAAAAAAAAGTTATAGGTTTCTTTAAGAAGTTAGTGCCAAAACTCCAGGTACTTTTCTTTACTACTGACCCTAAATTTTACTCAGCTTTCAAGGCCAGCTCTACCCTTAGATCTTGACCAATCCAGACAACTCTGAGCAATCCTGGTTCTGAACTCCAAAGGTATGTAAATCTTCATCCTGAATCATATGCTATCACATACGCAGAAAAGCCCAGAAACAAACATACAACTGCTATGATATACAGGCAGAATACAGGATTATGTTCACCTAGAGTAGGCAATAAATGATGTAGATGTTGGTTGACTTCAGGAGATTTAGCAACAGGGAAAGGACTGTAGGAACTATAGTACTAAAACGTCTAAAGGTAATGTTGGCAGCAAAAGTGAAATTGTAAGCAAGGTGCTTCAGGAAATCAAAGAAGAGAGGAACAAAAGTAGGAATGCAGTCGGGGTAGTAGAAAGGAAGAGGATGAGAAGTAATAGACATTATCTCATTCAGTCCTCCTATCAATTTTACAAAGCTCATTGTTGTCAAATAACATCCTGAAAGTCATATGGGTAATAAATGGAGGAGTCTGATCTAATCCATCACAACCCAGTTTTTATGCCTCCAGAGTAAAACTGGACTTACAAAGCCCCAGGGAATAAGGCAAAACGTAGAGACGAAACTGGACCTGCAGCCAGGACGGCAGGCTCTTGAGCAACTGGCCCAGCATGCTTTACATTCCCCTTGACTACGTATAGGGCTGTCTGCACAGTTACAGGAAAGAGGGCTTTTGAGCAATAAAGGTTCAAGAAAAAATGAAGCATAGTGCCCAGTACACATTAATTGATTAATATCTATTGGACCATTCCTAGATCTCTCAATGGCTTTGTGGGTTCTTTTTTTATTGTGGTAAAAATTAACATGATGTACAATTTACAGTTTTAACCATTTTTAAGTATACAGTTCAGTAACATTAAGTACATGCACAGTGTTGTGCAACTATCACAACTTTCCTATAGGTTCTGTTTTGTACTGTTCTCCATTCTTCATTGAACTTAGCACAGTACTATGCACATAGAAAGTGCTCCATAAAGAAGTGGTTAACTGGCCTAGATACCATCACGTCCATGTGATGGTAATGAGAGGATGTGGTTACTCTGGTTCCGTTCCCAAGTCATTTGGTGCCTAAATGGAGCTTCTGTGAGTCCGTGACCATGTGGTCATGAGAACTCAGTCACCCTGGGAATCGTACTCAGGGGTTCCTCTTTGAGCTTCTAACTAATAACAATCTGTCCTTATGCAGATTATTATAAATAGAACATTTGTACAGAGCTGCGTCTATAGTCAAACTCTTCCTGCGCAAACCCTCCTTAGAAGAGGGGTTAGGAATGTCTTATAAAAACTAATAGTGTATATAACTGTTAAATGGCCAAAACCTTAATTTTCCTTCATGTGCTTATGTCATTGGAAAGGAAGTATATTTGTCTTGAATGATAACTTTTTACATGTTTAGCTTATTTTTTTATATCAACTTTATTGAAGTACAATTTACATACATTATAACTCACACATTTCATATGAATGTACCAATGACTGGACAAATGTATATATTTGTAAAAACATACAGGTACAGATTTTACAAGCTGCATTAGATCAGAGATTGTGTTACAACTGAATATATCTTGATTCTAAAAACAACAAATATTTAGGATTCTTATATCATTCTCTTTTATATACAAATATATTAATAGATTGTACAGATATCAAATCCAGAAACTTCAAACATTTTACTTCTTCTGACTTAGAGGTATCAAAAAAAGGAAAATGCTTTGAACAATTTACTATATTCAATTTTAAGCATTACATTTTGAGAAAAAAAAAATCCACAAACCAGAAAACAACCTGAGCAAGGGAATAGTACTGAAAAGGCTGGAAATCATATTCTAGGGGTACATTGGAAAAATCAAGTGTTTTTAGAAGAAAATATGGTAAGGTAGTGTAGTGTGAGGAAGGATAACATTGATCTCAAAAGGTTAAAAGACTTTTATATGGAAAAGAGACAGAACTTGTTCAGCATTTGGCTCCAGGAGGCAAGAGTATCAGAGGGAAGTTCAAGTGGGATGGTTGAAGCATAAAGTATCCCTGCATCGTATAACTGTTCAAAAAGAGGCAAAAGACCATCTGTTTAAGAGTTGAGGCAAGAGTAGAAGGATTAGATTTCTAGTTGTCCTCTTACATCCTTGTTACTTCCAATTCTGAGATCGTGTGATCCAGGATCCTCTTACAACTTAAAGCCAGGTGTCAGGGACACCACAGTTCAGAAATGTACAGCCCCCAAACCACAGTTCAGTCAAGAACAAAGAGCTAAGCCCAGCCAGGAGCACTGCTCCTGCATGTGCGCACATGCATACGCACACACTCATACATCCAACCTCCCCATGATTCTTGGGATGAAAAAAATAACGTAGAAAAATTGTAACAGAAAATCCATTCTATCTTTTCCACCAAATTTACTGTAGGTTTCCTAATCTATGTTAACAATATCACTAGCTCCCCGATTATGCAGAATAAAGCCTTAATGTTTCTCTTTGACTTTTCCATCTTCTTCCAATTTCTACCCCAGAAATAGCTCAGCTGTCCTTTACCTTTACCCAGCAGTCCTCGCTTATCTGCTGGGATATGTTGCAAGATCCCCAGTGGGTGCCTGAAACTGCAGATGGCACTGACTCCCATATATACTGTGTTGTTTTGTTTTTTCCTATACATGCACACACTTCACAGCTTTTCTTTGGCATATTTGAATTGCCATCATCACTACCCTTACCCTTTGAGACCATTATTAAGTAAAATAAGGATTACTTGAACACAAGCATTGCAACACCACGAGCCAATCCGATAAACCAAGAGGGCCCTTAAGTGACTAAGGGCGGGGAGCGCGCGCCGCACGGATGCTACGGACAAAGCGGCGATTCATGCCTGGGGCCGGACAGAGCAGGGCGGCGCCAGATGCCACCGCGCTAGCCAGAACTATGTGCATTTAAAACTTATAAATTATCTTTGGAATTTTGCATGTAATATTTTCAGACCATGGCTGACCACAGTACCTGAAACCATGGAAAGCAAAATTGCAGAAAGTACCACCACAGAGAAGGAGGACCTACTACACTTGTATCGCCATTGCTCTGGTGAAACTCTTGCAGTTGATTCCTGACTAGTCATCCTGCCTACGACCTCCCCCTCCCAAGGCCATTGTTCTCACTGCTAACGGTGACCTTTCTAAAGCCGGAATGGATGGCTCACTCCACTCTAACCTGCTCAGAAAACTACATGGGCTCCTACGAAGTGAAGTCCAGATTCTTTGGAATGGCCTTGCATGCCATCTCAGCCTCACCCGAACCCTCCCTGCTTCGCTTGCCCTGATGCTTTGGCACCTTTTGCTTTGACTCCTCCGCAGTACCTGTCATTCCTGAAATGTATTGTGCTGCGTGGCTTTGTTCAGCTGTTTCAAATGCACCCCCTCACTCCACCTGTGGACACTTTACTCCATTTTCAAGACTCAAGCAGATGCTACTTATCTTGTAAAGCTACCCTAATACTTCCACCTCTCAGCCCCTGCCTCCTTCTTTGCAATTAAGTGCTTCTTCTTGGAGCTTACAATACTTCTCATCATATCTTATTTTTGCATTTAACAATCATGCTTGAAATTTCAGTTTTGGGGTCCAAGCTTATCTCTATATTTCTTTCTATATCCGACCTTGTCAGACCCCCAATGCCAAGGATCTAACACAGAAGCTTTTATGTAACAAGCCCTTAATAAATGTTTATTGAACTGATCTGGAGCAGTCTTAAAAATTGTTGTAACTTCTATTAAAATTTTAATCAAAAGCCTAGTGATTGATATAAGCCTTTTAGCTATTAATCTAACATCTATGGGCCAAAAACAGTTATATACTTACATTCACTAGGAGTGAGAATTCTGTGACCAGTTGGCTAAGTTCAATTAAGTCCTTCAAAAAAGAGAAAAAAGAGGAAGTGACTTACTTTTATGCCTCACAGTTACCAAAAGGGAAAAAAAAAATTTAAACATACCGCTTCTAAGATTTCCCATGATTCTGCAGCGTTTTGATCTCGAGGAATTTCAGGCAATGCATATATCTGAGTCATACTCTGAGGATCGGCTTCAGCTTCAGCTTCAGCAGTATGAAATGCTCCTGGAAGAACAGAGCCTCATGGTTAGAGTTTATTTGTTTTGCTACAATGGCGATAGCATGAATCAATACCATAAAAAGTTGTCATGTAAAATGGTTAGTAACTGAATTCAGGCTAAAAGTAAACTGATTATTCTATAAAAATAGATTTACCGATAGATTGTTCCTAAGTTAACAATTTTTTTTCTTTAATTAGTCTACAAAATCATCTAAGAAAAATGGGTACAAATATTATCTGCTCAAACTGAATAACTAAAGCTAGATGTACAAGAACTACCAAAAGAAAATTATTCTATTTGGCCAATGTCCCATGAAGAGATACCCAATGTTTAACAATCTTTACTGCTAAATCACTAAACTTCTTTTTTGTTGCTATTTTAGTAAGCTGTTAAAAGTGGGGAAGTGATGCGTTTTTAGCAATGAAAACCAGTCATTTTGGTAACAAACTTGTCATCAAACTAACATTTACTACCATATGTATATTTCTGTACTTATTGTCACTCTACTCCTCTTCCAAATCATTTTTCTGGCCCATACCTCCATTGCTTCTAATTCTTTTCTGAGTTTTAAAAAGTCGTCAACCCACTAAGGCTTTCCTCATTAAACGCTGTTATGATGATGAATCAATTTATACTCCAAACTCCACCTTCAAGTCTTTCTTATTTCCTTGTATTGGTTTTACCAACCATTCATTCATTAAACTTATATTTATACAATGCCTACTATATCCCAATCGGTGCTAAGATGCTGGGGACACGACGATAAACCACAAAAACAGTTCCAAGGAGTCAGCACAGTGCAGTTCTTAAGAATGTGGGTCTCATCAGAAAGACCTGGGTAAGAATCATGGTTTGTCTATTTGCTAGCTTTTTGGCTTAGGATGGTATTTCATTTCTGACTTATTTTCCTCATTTATAAAATAAGATGATACTTTGTATTGTGCCTGGCATATATATCAAGCATTGGGTTGGCCAAAAGTTTGTTTGGTTTTTTTGTACACTGGCTCTAGAAACACTTAGTTGTCTTTAACTTCATTCAAAATAGTTTTGTTAGATTGTATTGCGACAGCTGTCATATCAGGGTACATTTAAAAAAACATCAAAATTGTGAACTTTTTTGTAGCCATTTTAATTTTACAGATGGAAGAAAAGCAACATTTTTAGCATATTATGCTTTATTATTTCAAGAAAAGTAAAAACACAACTGCAAAAAAAAAAAAAGATTTGTGCAGTACATGGAAAAGGCACTACGATGGATTGAATGTGTCAAGAATGGTTTGTGAAGTTTCGTGCTGGAGATTTCTTGCTGAATGATGCTCCATGGTCGGGTAGGCCAGTTGAAGTTGATGGTAATAAACTCCAGACATCTGAGAACAATCAACATTACACCCCATGGGAGCTAGTGACATACTCAATATATCCAAATCAATAAAGTTATTGGTGGAAATGAAAATGTGTCTTTCATTTTATGGAAAAAAATACATGGACTTTTTGTCCAACCCAATACAAGTGGTTAATAGTTATTCCTACTGACATTGCTATTGGTACTGTTATTAATGGAGCTTACCATACAAAGTGTGATACAGACACGTTAACAGGCAAGTTCACTATTGTCTGACAAGAACTGTGATATGGGTAAGTATGGAATGCTATGTGAACACAGAAGAGAGATAGTTAACCCAGGCTTGTGGAGGAGAGAATGGCCCAAGAAGGCTCTGAAGCTAAAGCCGGAGGGTGAACAGAAATTATGTAAGTGAAGTGGGGCAAGAGTGGAGGGAGAAGCAGAGAGTATTTAGATCGGGGAGAATAGTCTGTTGCATGGGTTTGGGAACTGAAAGGTGTTCAGTATAGTGGAAGCATATTGTCTGACAAGAGAAAAACAGAGGTTGAGGTTGGAAATTGAGGGTGACATCGCTCATGGCATTGTAAACTATGTTAAAGAGTTTTTTTTATCTTTCTCGTAAGATCAATGTGGAACTATTAAAAGGAGTAGAAGACTACTGGGAAGCTGCAGGGTGCTCTATCAGATTTCAGATTTAGAAAGGGAACCATAGTAGTGGTGTGTAGAATATAATCTATTATATGGATGAAGTTGAAAGATAAAAAAATTAGAGAGTGAAAAACCAGTTGGGAGACTGTTCAATACATCCGGTGCAAAAATGATGAGGATCTGCTTCAGGGCAGTGGCAGTGGAAACATACAGAAGAGATCTGAAGGTCTACTTTCCATTCGTCCTCCTTACTTCAAACCTGAAACAGCACTTGCCACTTTAAAATTTTGGGGACACTCACTATGTATTGTGTTGAGTACCGGGGATGAAAATGAAATACAAAATAGCTGCTCTCAAGGAACTTATATTCTGGAAGAGTCAGACATACAAAGAGACAAGTCTAAAACAGTTGAGAGAGTTCATTAACACCTAAGTAAATAGGTAAAGATACGCCGAATGCTTCATGGGAGCTCCAAGCTGGGGTGGCACTGGACCCAGCGAGGTGTGGTGTGCCGCCTGTGGGACAGCTCCCTAGAACTGATGACCTTGGTAGGCAAAGAAGATAGGATTATAAATTCTAGGTAGAAAAACTAGCATGAAAAAGGCCCTCAAAGAAGAAATACAGCTTAACATAAAATTAGCAGTTTGGTCTTGCCACACCATAAAGTAAAAAATACAAAGATACAAGTATAACATGTTAATCATGGTTAGAAGGGGCCTCGCAGTCCAGTTTAAGACTGGACTTTATCTGGTAGACAGTGGAGAGCTACTGAAAGGTTGTAAGCAGCGAAATGACAGTGATGTGACACCTGATCTAATCAAAAAAGTCATTAAAACACTAAGTCCAACTTCTCTCTCAATTTCTTTTTCCATCCTAGCCTATAAATGAATGGTATTTTACAAAACTGCATTACCAGTTCACTTTCAGAATTTATGAATGTTTTACCTCTCAAGGGGGAAAGAAAAAGCTGTTTAAATTGTTTAGGAAAAGCATAAAGTAATTTGACTAAAAAGTAATTTGTAGGCTTATCCGAATCGACCATGTTCTTTTAATTTTTAATCTTAACTTATCTGAATACATTTCCTTATCCAAAGGACGAACAAAAACAGATACAGAATAAGTTTAATATTACAACATTATGGCAAAACCCAACATTTTAAAAGCTCTCTATGATCTTTATACATGCTTAAGAGTTATATATCCCATGTCCTAACATCACTAAAGACATTTTCATTTTAACTTCAATCAAGATAAATGAGTTACTCTAAGACTTTTCTTCTACTTAATATTCCTATTATAAGAATGTCAACTTCTTCAATACCATGATGAATAATGATAACTGCACTATTAACAGACCAAGTGTAAAGCATAACTTCATAAACACAACACCCACTCTGAAGATTTTTTTAGGGCAGAGGATTCAAATAAATTATGCAAGGGTATAAAACAAAATGAGGAGAAATTATCATATAGAAATTCCTGATCTAAAATGAAGGGATGGGAACTGTTTGACATTTTAGGCAAACATTAAAGATTTCCCTCAGTAAAAAACAAAAAATGTTTAAGTCACTTAAATTTCACTTGAAATCAAGTTGCATATGCATCTCAGTTCAAAATGAAGTCTTAGGACAAAGAAATCTGTCCTCTTCCATGGAAAATTCTGCTGTAAACTCACAACTAATCATTTCAAGGTATGACTAATAATTAAGAAATGAAACCCTTTAATTTCTACAACTTCCATAATTCATTTATTCCAATTTGTATTAAAAATCTGTAGTTCAGTCATCATCCACTAACTTTGAACTTTTACAAATTGCTACAGATGTAAGAAGGCAAAACATTGTCACAGATTACAGCTGCAGGAGAGGAGGCTAAAGAGCTCTTCCTCTGTCCACACATGTCAAAACTGCTGTTGTTTTACACGACATAATAATCTCAGCTAGACCCACCTACACGTAAACAACAGCAAGAATAAGGGCACAGAAGATATCACTCACCACTGCTTTCAAACTCCAGTTTGAAAACCCTACTACTGACTTATAAACTGAAATAAATATTAAGCTATTTTTAGTTGAAGTGAGAAATAAGCTTAATAACATAGACATAAGACTTCTCCCTTCTCTCTATATATCTAAACTTCCATCCATTCATTTATTCATATTCATTGTCTCCCTCTCCCCAAGGGCCCCGCTTCCTTCTCTCTCCATATTTCATGAAGCAGTAATTCTACTAAGAATTACAACACAATATATAAAAAAATTGCCACTAAACTTTAGTACATTAGAAAAAGTGTCATTATAAATCTAAATTGATTCAAAAACATTTCCTGAATTTTTTCATGTTCTGACAGCTTAAAAATAGTGAAATTAATGTACTGATCATCTCCATAAACCCATCTATCAAAATAAAATGACTTCTAAGAAATGCCTTCACTTAGCAGCAAAGGAGTATTTTTAAGAAAATGAAGACCAATTGAAAACACATCTTGTGAATAGTGTATGAAAACCATCTACATGTTTTACAAAATGCTTCAGCACATATATATATATATACCTGTGATAAAATCAAGGATTTCATCAAATTTAATGTGCTCATCTGAAGTTCCCAGAAGTTTTAAGATTGGATTCTTTTCTTTTGTGAATATTTGTTTAAAATGTACTAAGATTCTGTTCCTATTGCGCCGGCGAAGTTGGGTGCTAGATGGGGAGGATGAAAAGACAGAGACGGAGAGAAGCGATGCCTCCGTCTGCACGACTTGATACACCTTTCTAAGTACCAATCCCATCTGTAGGCTCATCGCTTCCCTGGGTGGGACGCAATACGCCAAAAGTGAAATGACACACAACCGAGACAGTAGGGAGTTTCTCAAATCAAGCAAGATCGGCAGAGAAGATTTGCTTTAGGAACTCGCAGAGGTTGGACAAAAGAAACAGCAAAATCATCGCAGGTTTCCCCCAAACTTAATAAGCTTCTTTCATTCTCCAGAGAACATAAAACACCCTATTCTACTTGTTATTTCTATTTGTAAATGAAAAACTATTTTTGTGTTTTGATTTCACTCATGGAAATGTGGCAACATTGCTCCTGACTCTCTGCTGATGTTTCCGACCAATTTATTTAGAGTTGGTTTGAATTTTTAAAGGAAGAAGTATTTTAAGGCACTTCTATGCAAATCAAACACATTTTTTTTTCTGTATAGGCTGTCACTACTATAATGAGTCTCTAAAGCAAAAATAAAGAAAAAACAGAGAACACTGGATAAAAACATGTAGAATGACAGAAGAGATTCTATAGCTAAAAGAAGACCACACGTGGAGCAAATCCAATTCCTACCCCACTACTAAACTCTCATGTAAATTAGTGCTTTCATTTCGTATTCTTTTCCTCCTATCCTCTCAATCACTTTTTAATAATATTTCTGGATTGAAGGCAGTCTAGTAGGCACTCTCATATTTGGTAAAAAGGTCAGGCACCTGGTGAACCAGTTAATTTTAACTGCTTAATGTTGGCTATGGATTCAAAGTCAAAGTGTGATCTGACCAGCAGACCATTCAGAATCTGAAATTCTAACATTGTTTTAGGTGTAACTTAGGTATTTGATTTTATAAATGGAATGATTGTCTCAATGAAATCAGCATTGGTTGCAGAGATTTAATTTTGTAGTTTCTCCCAGTGTACAAGTGATTAGGTGTTAGGCCAGTTTGGTGTTCCATGAATTGAGAATCAATAGTTAGAAAATGAATTTCATCTGTTATTTCTTCTCCCTCTTCCTCTGGCTTTGCCCCCCTCTTTTTCATTTCCTTTATACACATGCTTCTCAAATTTTGCCGACATTTAAAAAAAAAAAATACGAGTCAGCTTCCTCTGGAGAAAGTTAATTGTCAGCAAACTGGGTAAACTGCCTTCTTCTAATAATCACCCACTTGCTCCGATGATGTATAAACCCAAGGTTTTTGAGCCCAAACAGTCCTGTTATTAGAAACATCAATGATGGAACAATAAAATAAAAATTAAAGCAAGTATTAGAATACTATCATATTGTAAGAAAACTCTCAGAACTGAAATTTTCTGTTTGCTGTTGGTGAGCAATTCAAAGTTAAAAAGTCCAAGAGACTGATGCCAGCAATGCTTTCCAGAAAAACCAGCACATCTTCACTGTTATTACTGCTATCACAATTGCCAGAATGTCTGGGGGGCTAAGACGGCTTCTTAACCACATGGAACTATGACACCTAGTTTCTCTTCACGTGCACATAAAGTATCCATTTGTACTAAATGGAAAAAAAAAAACAACATTAAGCTCCACCTATACGGTGGTGATACTTCTGTATGAACAGAACAATGTGAACAGTAACTACGAACTATCAAAAAGTATTCTTCCCAAATACTCTTCCACTAAGGGTTGAGTGCTAACATTTCCTTCTTCCCAAAACAACACGTTAGGTACTGGTTATGCACAGTGATGTGATTTATAGCACATCTGAAGTTACAAAATTGTCCCTAAAAAGATATTTACTCCTTTATATTTATAAAATATATTATATTTATAGTTATTAATGGCCCATTATGTGCCAAGCACTATGCACTATGTGCTAGGTAACTAAGGTTACAATAAAAGCAAGATTGCCCAGGAGCTCGGGACCAATGGCCTAAATGTTTCTTCTAATTATTTTTCTATTTCCGTGCAAACTACTGGATCATTAGCACTGAAAATATAAGGTTAAAAATAATGAGGAGCCTTCTAGGTAAATGAAAAGAGAAAAACCTGGCAGGTGTAGCATCTCTCAGATTCTATGTTAATTTGTAATTTATGCATACTCCACCTTTTCCATAAAGACTTAGGCAGCTTAAAACAAATAAAATGTAAAAAGATGGCATAAATTAAAAATCAAAAAGAAACTCTAAAACAAAAAAAGGAAAACCCTAAAACAGGAAAGGGCAGCAATCATAAAATAAAGCTGGCATAGTTTAAAAACTTGGCTTTTGGTAGTTAAAAATTGTGGATTTAAGCTTTCTAGTACAGAAACCTTATCAGTGTTGCCATTCAATACCCATAAGATTTTTTTTAAAAAGACCATTTTCTCCGAAGTACATATTACTATGCATTTTTTTCAGGGTTCCTTATAAAAAATATTGCTATAATGCAATCAATTATTATCAATTACATCTCTAGTAGAGATATGAGAAGTTTCACCAGGTTGTTTCTTAGAGTATCACTTTATAAAAGCTGATGACATAACCTCTGATGCAGATTTTTTTTTTAAGTGCTGTCAGTTAAATTCAGAAAAACTGAGCTGGGAAATAGCTCTAACATCCACTGTGAAAATCAAAATGCATAAGAAGGAGGCATTACCAACTAGGGTACCCTTGCACTCGGAGATGAGGGAAGAGTACTCAGTACACAAGGATGATATTCTCCTTAAGAATTTTGTTTTCTTTATATAGAAAAATAGGTATTTAAAGCCCTGAAGTTCCACTTTATACAGCATAGGCTCAAAATTTCTATCCTGCAAAACTTCTAGGATATGCATTTCCAGGCATACTCAGGGTCCGACAATTGAGTATACTGGACTAGGAGGTAATCCCTGGAGGCAAAGATTATCTGCAACATCTATGCAAGGAGGTGAACTTTAATTAACTGCATCACTATGATCAAGAATAAGACTAGGACATTACCACCAACAGTCACAGATCTGGTCAAAGAAGGCTGTACTAAAGTTTCTTCATCATTAAATTGTTTCTTAAGTTCTTCTACAGATTCCAGATGGAGTTGGAGAAATTCTGTTGTTGCTGCTGAGGCTTCTTCTTTAACAGGATCTATCATTCTCTTCAGGAGCCCTAGGTCATCTTTTCGGACTTTCAAACAAAGCTTCTCCATTTCTCGGATATTGGAGCGGAGTTGCTATAAAAAAAAAAAAAGAATTAGAGCCACCATATATCTTAATATAAAATATATTTATTTTCAGAGTTAATCTAATAATGGTTATGAATGACATGGTTACAAATGATCTGTACAATAGAAGGTATGCATAATACTTTTCTATTTTTCATGTCTCTGGCCAAAACCAGCTTCTTTAGAACTTACATCGTCATACTTTAAATTTATTTAATGTTTTTCCTTCATTAAATGATTATTACAAAGGTAACAAATGCTCTTCATAATATATCAAACGCTGCAGAAACATATCAAGAAAAATTTAATGATTTCCCCACATCACCAATTCCACCATTTCTCTTAACCTACATTTCTCATTGCTCGTGTAAACACTGACATACCTAGCTATTTTACACAAAAAATGAATTCCATTATGCACAATAAATTATAATTTGTCATTCCTCTCCCAGACTTAACAATAGATCCGTGAATATCCCTCCTGGTCAGCAGCTGTACCATATTCCATAATATGAATGGAATATAATTTATTCAAACACTCCCCCAGGGATCAACATTCATGTTGTTTCTGGTTTTTAGTTATTACAAACTACGAAACAAATATTCCTGAATATAAATCCTAATACTACAATAAGCATATAATAGTACTATAGTAAATATTACTATACTATATTTTGTAGAAGTGAATCTCAAAAGTGGGAGTACTCAAATAATAATGTGCATTTTTATTTCAATAGCTATTATCAGCTTTTTTCCCCCAAAGGCTGTAACAATTCATTCTACCACCAAAATGAGTACCCATTTCCCCACGTTCTACCAGTAGTATTTGTTATCTCATTGTTTTTTTACTTTGCATTTGTTTTTGAGTGAAGTTGCTGGATTTTTTCCAAATGATTTCCCCCTCTTTAAAAAAATCTGTTAGCATAATCATACATTTTCCTGTAATGTGCTAATATAATGATATATGAGCAAGTTTCATAAATAGACACATTTTTATATTTCTGAAATAAACCTTCCTGGTGTGTGCGTATAATCTTTTAATACACTGTTGGATTCAATTTGCTAATATTTTATTTGGAATGTGAGCAAATGAGTATGTGTGCATGCATGTGTGTATAGGGGAACAACATGTGTCTCTACTATCTTTATTAGATTTAAACTCATTCTAACAGGTTTAAGGTATGCTAGCTTCATAAACTGAGGAGGTTTCCATCGTTTTAATGGTCTATATTTTGAAAAACATAATAACCAACTATTTTTGACAAATAAAATTAACTTGCAAGAATGGTCTCAGTATGATAATTTTAAAAATCATAGATCTCTATTCATATAGTAGTTTGAATGCTTTTCCCTTAATGTATTTTTCAAAGATACTAATGCAAATCCTATCTAGTAGAACAAAAATGTATTAACTTCTTTAATTTCTGAAGTACGTACTCTGAGTGAGGTGTTCCACGAGGGTTAAAATCCAAGTATTCTTACAAGTCCAGCATTCCTTCCATTAAACTATAAGCACAATCCCTATCTATACGGTACCTTAATACAAGCTAAAGTATCAATTTTATTTTAGTAAAATTGAAGTTAATTCTTAAAATAAGGTTTACCTACAAGCTAAAGTATCTTGTTAGATTTTCTGGGTGAATCAAAAACATATGCCTCTATCCTACCTATCCTCTCAGCTTCCTTTAACCTTATGTCCACTCTTACCATTCCAATGTGAGCTGGAAAACCTAAAGATAATTGGACTATAGATAAATGCAAGCATTCATATGTAAAAATCACAGAGCCTTAAGAAGCCTATCTGCTCATCCAATCCACCCGTATTTTCCTTATTTTACAATAAGGAAACTGGAGTCCAGATGAACACAGTGGCAGGACTAGGACTACAACCCAGTTCTCAAACCCTGAAATGTTATGTTTCCAGCACAGCACCATCTCTTGGCGGTGTGATTCCTTCCGGGCCTACAGTTGTAAAGCTTGGTGACATAGTTGCCACACAGCCCATAGAGCTGTTTTAGGCAATATCATCTTATAGGTGCATTTAAAAATCTCTGCAGCTAATAAGCATTTGCCTGTGACATATTCTTCCTCTCATAAAATTTGTACATATTTCTATACATATTTGTATAGTGTCCAGTAAAGAACTCTATTACTATGGATAGAAGGGGAAATGTTAATGGAGAGAAAGAATGTACCCACTGAACAATAAAGTCTGATACTACACTAACAAAAACACAATAATGGCTACATTTTTATCAACACTTAGTGTAAGCTGTCCAATGTGTTAAGTGCTTTATGTTCTTTTTTTGTTTTACCTTCACAATTTATTTTTGAAATATATATTACTATTATTCTCATTTTACAACACAGAAAATAAAAGCAAGAAATTAAGAAAATAGTCCAGGAATACATTCCTAGCAAAAAGGAAAGCCAAGAATCAAATCCAGGCTCTACAGCCTGTGTTCTTGACAACTTTATTATACAGGTACACTATCCAACAGAAACATAACGGAAATTGCAAATGTAAGCCATATACATAATTTTACAATTTCTAATAGTCACATTAGATATGTGAAAAAAAACAGATGAAATTAATTTTAACAATATATTTTATTTAACCCAATGTGTCCAAAATATTGTGATTTCAACATGGAAATAATGTAAAAAATTATTAATAAAATTTTACATGCTTTTATTCACAGAATTAGAAATGTGCAATATATTTTACATTCACAGCGCATTTAAATTCAAACTAGCCACATTTTAAGTGTTCAACAATTATATGTGGCCACTTATAATTCTGTGAAATTATAAATATGTGATTATGTGAAAAAAGAAAAAGCACACAATACAGTGAAAGGTTTAAACTTAAATATATCAACAATTATATTAAATATAAATGGAATAAATGTTCCAGTTAAAAGATAAAGATTTTCAGACTAGAAAAGAATACAAAACTCAAGAAATACATCTAAAACATAAATACATAAATACAGATAGTTAAAAGTAAAAGGGTGAAAAACAAACCATGCACATCTAATAACCCACCCCCAAAGAAAACCTGCAATATAAATAACATAAAAATGGACTTTAAAGCCACAACATTTATACAATCATCTTCTAATAATAGTATCTTCACCATGAATATGTAATTCTAAAGTTAGGTATGCCTAATACCATAGCCACAATATATTTAATGAAAAAATTAACAGAGCTACAAAGATAAATAAACAAGTCCACAATCTTAACAGAAGGCTTTAATACGTCTCTGAGGAACTAACAGAACAAATGGACAAAGGGATGCAAGTAAGGTACAGAGACTTTGAGTAATAATATTAACATAAACTTCTGTTAGGATTGTATAAAGCATTGTATCCAACAGTTTCAGAATATACATCTCCTTTAAAACAAACCACAGAGAACATTTACAAACACTGATTATATACTGAGTCTTAAAGTAAGTTTGAATAAAATTTCAGGAATATTATCATATAGACCTTGCATTCTGATCATAAAATTAAACTTGAAATCATTAACATAAATATGCCTAAAAACACTACATGTCTGAAAATGAAGGGGGACTCTTATAAATATATATTTCACTGGACAAAACAGAAATTGCAATGGAAATTAGAAATGCTTTGAACTAAATTGAAAAGCAATGCCTACTAAAACTAATAGGCAGCTAAAGCAGTATTTAGAAATTTATAGCTCTAAGTGTGTGTGTGTGTGTGTGTGTGTGTGTAGAAGGAGGCCTGAAAGTTAAACAACTGAACATACATCTTAAGAACCTAAAAAATAGCAAAAAAACAACAAAAAGTAACAGAGTAGAAAGAAAACAATAAAGGTTTGAACATGAATTTCATGAAACAGAAAAAAAACAAGCATGTAATAGGTTTAAAAAAGCCAAAATTTGATATTTGGAAGATTAATTGGTACTCGTCACTAAGAAGTAGTTAAAAAAATAAAGACACAAATAACCAAAATCAGAAAAGGGACATCACTACTGATTTTTCAGATATTAAAAGATAACAAGAGGATATTACGAATATATTTATGTCAATAAACTAGAAAAGTTAGGTGAAATGGTTAAATTCCTAGAAATCTATAGCTTAGCACAACTGACAAAAAATAGAAATAACTCCTCTCTCTCCCTACATACATACACAAAACCAAGACCAAACAAACAAATAAAAGAAACCCCAGGATAGATGGTTTCATCAGCCAATTCTTCTAAGGGTTTAAAAGAAATTACACTAACTCTACAAGAGAACAGGAAAAGAACATTCTCTAACTTATTTTATGATAGCAAACCTTGATACCAAACTCAACAAGGAGAGTAAGAAAAAGAAAGAATTCAGAGCAGTCTCACATGCTTGTGAACATGATGTGAAATGCTGAAGACAGTGTCAGCAATTTAAACTCAGCATCGCATTAAAAAAACAATAAACCAGTGGAAAATGTTCATGGATTGGAGGACTCAGTACTGCAAAGCATGTCACTTGGACAGACATCTATAGACCAACAGATTCAACAAATCTATTTAATCTATAGATTCAGTATCTACTAATTCAATAAAGTCAAACAAAATTTTAATCGATAGATTCATAATACGTAGATTCAATAAATAATAATACTTGAAAAAGGTTCTTTGTTTTGTTTTGGTGGAACTTGACAAGCTGATTCTAAAATGTACATGGAGCCCCGGCTGGTGTGGGTCAGTGCACTGAGTGCAGGCCTGTGAACCAAAGGGTTGCTGGTTTGATTCCCAGTCTAGGGCACGTTTCTCGGTTTTGGGCCAACTCCCCAGCAGGGGGTGCGTGAGAGGCACCCGCCCAGTGATGTTTCCCTCTCTTTCCCCCTCCCTTCCCCTCTCTCTATAAATAAATAAATAAATAAATAAATAAATAAATAAATGTATATGGAAATGTGGATACAGGGCTGAGACTAGCCTTTATAGAAGGTAGGAGAACTTCTATTAATACTGCTTGATTATAAAGCAACAGTAA